GTGGAGCACACCAGGAGCCCACCCATGAGTCTGAGGTGTGTGGAGCATACGAGGAGCCCATCATGAGTCTGAGGTGTGTGGAGCACACCAGGAGCCCACCATGAGTCTGAGGTGTGTGGAGCATACGAGGAGCCCACCATGAGTCTGAGGTGTGTGGAGCACACCAGGAGCCCACCATGAGTCTGAGGTGTGTGGAGCATACAAGGAGCCCACCATGAGTCTGAGGTGTGTGGAGCATACGAGGAGCCCATCATGAGTCTGAGGTGTGTGGAGCACACCAGGATACTTTGTTCCAAACTTAATGCACAACAGGTGCCCCTTATCAGCTCCTCAAACAGTGTGGGCAGCAGAGATGCCTCGATATGACTCATCGCCTCCCCTGAACTGCAAGAGCAACAGGCACCACAAACCTCTGTCATTTCCATCACACCCAAGGCCCAGGGCATCTGCTACATGGATCAAGAAAATCTCCCTGATAGCACCCAGGTGTGAAAAGCAAGGAAGCCATCTCCACTTTCCATGCCTTGCTGGTACACTGGGCTCTGTGACAGCCCTGCCTCCCAGACGCCTCAGTTCCCCAAGAGCATGCTGCAGTTGTGGGTTTCCTAAGCCATTCCTGGGGCTATGCTGAAGTCCTAGAGACCAGTGACATACGGCATGATCCAGCAGAAAGGTACTAACAATCTAGAAAATGTGTAACCGTGGAGGCTTCAGAGCTACTCAAATAATGCAAAGCTCAGGTCAATTAGCTATCTGGGGTAAGCCTCAGTCTCCTTCAGGAAAGTTTTTAGACAACAGACTTGTAGTCACAAACTACTATTAAGTATATTTTCGCTGGGCGGTGGTGGCGCACGCCTTTAATCCCAGCACTTGGGAGGCAGAGGCAGGCGGATTTCTGAGTTCTAGGCCAGCCTGGTCTACAGAGTGAGTTCCAGGACAGCCAGAACTACACAGAGAAACCCTGTCTCGAAAAACCAAAAAAAAAAAAAAGTATATTTTCATCCATGTGAAAAATTAATTTCCATCTGGCATTTGTAAAGCAAACCCAGTTTACCAACATTAAGATACATCCTTCATGAGACACTAGTGGTTCCAAAACTGAAGATAACCAGAATGAAGTCCCCTGGAACTCAGTAGACAGGAAACAAGAGTCAGCATCCACTGCCTTCCAGGCTACACTGCCACACAAAACCCAGAATGTTCTGAGACCCAGCCAAGGGTTGGCCCAATTCTTTCAGCAAGTGGGTAAGTGAGGCTCTGTATAGCCCAGAAAACGCCTTCTTGTGCACTTATGTTTGCCCTGAACGGATCTTGAGTCATCCAAGGGTCCAAGAACACCCACAGAATCTGGGGCCCTGTCTGTGCCTGCACATCCATTCTTGATACCTGAAGCTAGGCTTCCATATGCTTTGACATAATCCCCGTCCATGTGTGGATAGCGAGGTATTTAACCTGTGTTCCATACGGGTAAGGGGTGCAGAAAGGCTAGAAGGTGGCATGTGCCCTAAACCAAGGACAGGTCACATGTTAGAGGACAACTGTGACAGCCAGAAGTGGAGAATTTTAGAAGTTTATTCCACAAACTAAACTGTAAATTTAAATTAACAAATGGCATACTCCAACATTTTCTTTCAAAAAGGTTTTTGGTATGTAAGTACTATTTTTGCTCCATTTTTTTTTTTTAGTGAGCTATTTTAAATAACAATTTTATTATATAGCTGTGCTTTCTAACCAGTAATGCACAAATGTTTCTTACATAAGAAAAATAAGCACAAAGGTGTCCGTTACCCTATCTATACCTTGCGGTCACTCCACAGACGGACGGATCCACGCATGTGCCATCAGCTCCACTCTCTACAGCTGGCCTTCTCAGGGGTTGGTCACAAGAAACAAAATCAAAGGAAAACTTAAGTTGCAAGCCACTTGGAGCTTTCCCAGGCCGCAACCAGCTTCCTGGTACAGGGACCTAAAGGGCATCTGTCACAGGAAGCTGTCAGAAAGTCAGGAGAGTATGGCATGGGATACGTTTACAGAAACCAGGGGCTGCAGAGGGAGCAGTCTGAACCAGTGATAACTGAACCACAACATTGTAATGAACTGGTTAGGATTTTGCATGGAGGATCAGCCTGGCCTCTAAGGAATTACCAAATGCCCACACTGTGGGATGGAAACCCAACTAAATCCCTTACTGAACAGATCCCGTTTTGAAGCGTGCAGCCAGCGTGGCCTGGGAATGACTATGTGCCTCATGCTCTCAGAGCTCAAGACTGGGAGGCACGAGGACCGGCCAGCACAGACGACACGGCGGCAGAGACTCAGCTTACACGTTCTGCTCTTCTAGCTCTCCATCTCCCAACACCTCACCTCAATTAACACTACAGTGAGATGAAACGGCCCGGCTGTCATCCCAGCTACCTCAGACGGGAAGGCGGCAGGCCTGAAATGTCAAGGCCTACCTGAGCTGCCCAGACAGCTGAGTGAGACACTATCTCACAACAAAGACTGAAAAGAGGGCTAGTATGCAGCTCAGTGGTAGAATGCTAGCCTAGCACCCACAGGCCCTAGGTCCAATCCCCAGCACCCTAAAAAACAGCAGGATTACCCTTAGAGTAGAACCAACTGACTTCAAATTTTATATAAAGCATTTGGAATTCTTAAGCAATAATCTCTTCGAAGTCTGGTACTCCAGACCTCAGGCACAGATACTCAAGAAGACAAGAACCATCTGTCTGCTTGCAACTCTTGGCTCTAAACAGGGACCAAAAGGACTTAATCTTACAAACATATCCCCCATAGCACACCATATCAATAATTCTCCTGACATGAGCCAGATGACCCAACACTCCCTGCTAGGCAGTTACCCTGCAGCAAGGAGGCAAGGCTGTGACTAACCCACAGGTTAGTGGCCAGTACTGCCAGGGCTAGCGGCAGTGAGTCTGAAGTGAGATACTGCCCTGCCTGACAGTCCATATGCAGCAGTCACTTAGCAATGATGCCATCTGCCTACACACACACACATACACACACACACACACACACACACACACACACACACACGTTAGAGAACCACTGCGCCAACACGTGGCTTGGCAGGGTAAATCACACTGTTGCCATTATCAAGGACCTGGCTTTCCCAAGGCACGAAAAAGCCAGATGGTTCTGAACCATCTTCTCTAAAAGCTGGGAAATGCACCAGAGAACGGACAGTCCTGGTGCTGTCCACAAGCATGACGGTGGGTACAGGAGTGTTTAGTATGGCCGGACAGTACTCAAAGCCTCTTCTAACAAGTATCTTCCTCAAAGACACAGCCTGGATTCAGAACTCTGACACCAGTCTATGGTCTTCCTCAAGACACTAATAACAAAGCAAGTGCCGAGCATGATTCCTTTGCCTGAGTTCACTTCGACACAATCTGTTATTTCGCCACATGAAATGTATGTCACACTGATCACATCAGAGTCAGAGTCAAAAGGGGAAAGTCTTATGATAATAGCAGACTTCCCAGATTATCAAGATTCTGTTCCTTAGTGGTACACCAGACCTAAGCAACTGGCCAGCCCACACAGCTCCCAACAGAAGGGAGAGAGAGCAGTCAGGCCCCTTGGCTGTTCCAGGCAGGATCCTTGAAGAAGGAATGACTGGCACCTTTCTTCTCAGGATAAAAACAGCCAGCTGTCTTGGCCTGGAGTTCACATGGATACTAAAACTTCCATACAAATGTTCACAGCACAGTGTACAACAGCCAAAACCAGAAATAATCCAAATGCCTGTCAAACAACTATGTCACACGAAGGCAAGTCTGGAGCCTGGAGCATGCAGTCCCTGCCACACAAGGGAGAGGCACTGGTAATTCAGCCACTGTGTGTACAAAGAAAGGAGCAGGGCAACAAGAATGCAGCCCCTGTCCCTATGAGGGGAGGACAGGTGCAATGATGGCCTGCCTTCTGGATGGCATGACCCAGGCAGTCATATTAGGTACTCAAGAGGATTCTCCTCCACACAAGAGGACCAGCAGCTACAGGGTGGAGAGTGGCTAACTGGGGTGAGGTTTTATACAGCAGATGATAAAAACCATTCTAGATTCAGACAAAGGTGACAGTAGATAATCATGGATAAACTAAACCTGCTTCTGTCACTGCGACAGAAACAGTTTCTAATGAGGAAAGTTTTCAGAGGCTTCAGTCCATGGTCACTGGACCTGTGCTAGACAGTCATCATGGAGGAAGCATGTGGCAGAGAAAGCTGAGACACAGAAGGAAAGGTCACATGGGGCCAGGGTCCACTCCTCCTCAGGACCCACCACAGTGGCCCACTCCTCTCCTGGGCCTATCCCATGATAGGTCTAGCTCTGAGCATAGAGCCATGACTGTGGTCAAGCTCTCAGCACACAAGCTGTCGGGAACAGCAATATACACTTGAGCAACTGCTAGAGAAAGCGCACTGTAAACCATCAGCGTGTAGTTTCCAGCTTGAACCCAACACTGCAATTCTGAAAGACATCATTTCTAGTATTTCAGATACAGTGACATACCTAAGAGCAAACTCTTCATTAAATAGAAAAACAATTATGGTTATAGGAAAACCAATCATCTAGATAAGGAGACAAAGCTGCCCATAGTCTCCCAGGTAAACAGTCTGCGTAGGATGTGCACACAGAGCCCAGTCTGTCAGAGTGCCTTCCTTTCTCTCAGCATTCCTGTCACTTAGTTAGAAACAAGGAGGCACTTCGGACTCTTCAGAGAGCCCCAGGTGAGGGGAGGTAGACCCTACACCTGGTCTCCCTGGCTACTTGCAGATCTCCAACCCAAGAGGCAGCCCAGCCCAAGGAGACTGCTCCCTACGCCTGGCAACAGCCTCTGGAAACCTACAGAGAAATGCCAAGGACAGAGGCGGCTACTGGTGCAAGATTATGAAAGCTATCCCTGCTCAGGAAGTAGGCCATCCAAGAAGGCAGCTCCAGAACAGACATGCCAGCAACACGAGACAGGCACAGGCGCAGCAAGAGGGGCACGGGTGCTGGCAGCCACAGGGGATCCCAGCTGCTGTGACTTTCCTCATCACCCTGTGTCTCTCTTCTCCCCTTCCAGAGGAACAGCACAAAGGCACAACCACGGCAGCCCTGGGAACGCACCTTCAGAGTTCAGGGTGATGAGAGTGACGTTGCTTCCAATGTTCTGGCTTCCTGGCTGGCCGCAGTTAGACACGGAGTCGCTGGCCTCTGACCCACTCTCGCCATCTTCATTGTGGCTGTCGTCCTGACCAGGCACTTTCACTACGATGGTGTTCTGCCGACGCCCAGGAACAGCGCTGGCGGGAAACAAACACAGCAGCCCAGGCTGTGAGAGGACATGAGTGGTACACTGAGACAGCCCCGATTCCCGCTGCTGTGTGGACTTATCCCAGTGTCTAGCTGAGCATGGACCAATGCACAAGGAGGGTCCCCAACATGCGGTATGACCCCACACACCCTCCATGGAGATGAGCAGCATAACACAGGAACAGTCCGAGACCAAGAAGACACGTAATATAAAGCAACCGCTTAAAAATATGAACAGCACAAAATAAATAAAACCGTAACTCACGGAGACTCAGCCTAGAATCCGGCTTTCAGATCCTAGAGGCCATCCTCACATGCACAATGGTCACCATGTGTCAGAGTCCCCACCCATCCATCATCCATGCTGTCAGACACCCAAGATGACTCAGCCTCCAAAACACCTCCACACTCCCTATGACCCCCACAGACAAACCCTAGAAGCAACTTCCAAGGCCATCAAGAATGTCCGGAGTCCTCCGGGAGCCATTCATTCTTGGTGCAGGGCCCTGAAGTACAGCAGCAGCCAAACAGCTAGCAGCAGAAAGTGCTCAAACAAGACCCAAGATTGATTTGTTTTCTGAATGACTGACGACATTTTGGACTCTGACCTACTACACACCACAGAGGAAACAAAGCTCTTGTTCCCATTGGCAAAATCCAAGGGGCCTTAAAACTCTGGGCGTCCCAGAGGCTGGAGGTCCTTCCTGAACTTGACCCCACAGAACTACCCACGGTGAACTGGCTCCTCAACACTCCACACCCATGACCTCATTGTGGGGCCAGGAGGCACATCCTCTTCCCAACAGAGTGGCCGGCCTCCAGCACCTCACACAGCACACACAGCAGCCCCAGGCCTCCTGTTTCCTAGAGAACTGGGCCAGGACAAGAAGCCAGAACAAAGCTGGAAGGAGCCACACCCCACAGAGAAAAAAAAAACAGCAAGACAGGATTCCATGAGAACACTGCTGGTAATTAAAGGTGATCAAGCTTTCCTGAGCCCTGGAGCCAGAGCCATGGGCAGAGGCCCACAGGGCACGGCTGTTGTGCACTTTCATTTCTGGTGGAAGTTCCATTCAACACATCTCAAAAGATAGGGATGAGGAAAAAAGTCACAAACTCAACACAGTACATCATTTACCAAACTGAGAAGAGCGTCAACTGCAGAACAGACAGATGGGAGTGGTCAGCTGACCACATGCAATATCTAGCCTCTTCACATAGCAGATCTAGCCCAGAGGTCCTCAGAGCTGCCCACCCCTTGTGCTGTCTCACCCCCACCACTGCTAAGCACCAGGTTGGCCCTTCCTGACCTGAAGACTATGGTGGTTTCTGACAGATGGACCTGTGACTACAGACACGGACACGTGCTCAGACTGAGCCTGGCTCGGGATCGCTCACTGATCCTCATGACAGTGGCAGGGGAGGTGGGGTGGTGATGGCTACTGACTTGCTAATGATATTTTCCAGGGAATCCGGAGCCCTGTTGCTCAATGGGTCTTCCATCTTGGCTACAATGGCGTTCTGCCGATCATTGTTGAGTATTACTGTAGTCTGGGGGACGACGCTATGAAACAAAAGAATCACAAGAAAAAGAAGACCTTAAAACAACAACAGTCATTGTCAGAGCACATGAATCATTCAACACGGTCAGCTCCTGGGGCCAACACCAAAGAGCGGGGTCCAGTCCAGAACAACTACTGGAGATGGGGCTCTCCAGCTCCCTGCTGGTTGGTATTCTTGGTTGAACCAAATACATCATGTGGGCAGGGTGGGCTGTGGACATTTAACAGAGTGAGTAGGACAGGCTAAGGCACCCTCCTGTCCTACGCATCTGCAAGCCAGCAACAGGTTTACATGAAAACAGGCTCCTTTTCATTCTCCCCTTGTGTGTGTGTGTGTGTGTGTGTGTGTGTGTGTGTATGGGCAGGGTACGTGTGTGCACCGCATACATGTGAACTGTATGCAGAGTCCAGAGCAGGGATCATAGTCTTCTTCCACTGCCCTCTGCCTTACTCTTTTCAAGCAGGGTCTACTACTGAATAGTAACCTAGTCCATTCAGCTAGGCTGCTAAGTCAGCAAGCCTGACCTGTCCCAAAGCCCCCGTGCTGGGCCTACAAGATATGTATACAGCCATGCCTGGCTTTTTACATGAGTGTCAGGGATTTAAACTCAGATCTTCCCGACTGCAGAAGCATAAGGACAGGCTCCCCAGCCTCTTTCAACTGCATACCTCCAAAACTTGGCTACGGCACGGTGGTCTCATGGCTGCCCTCCTCACATCACTCTGCATCTGCCCTCTAGAGGGGGTCAGCCAACTAACCCATAGGCAGCAAAGGGAAACATGCTCACACACCACCCACAGTCCTGCCTTGAGGCTCAGGTCTGAGGAGAAATTCTAGGAGAGAATAGACCATGGCCCAAGAACCACCCGGCTCAGCCACACCCGGGAGCAGCATGGGTGTAACTGAGCAGGACCAGCAGCTGGCTCTCAAGGGACTCTTTCCCACTGCAACCCTCATGTCAACTCCGAGCACTTCATGGCACAGAGTTGTCTAAAGTGTAGACTGCTGTGAAGAGCCAGGGCTAAAAAGAACTGCCACTTGATGCAGCCAGTTAAATTACCTGAAAACCCGGTGTCCTTGTCCAGAGAAAAGGGTACTTCCTTACTAAAAAGCAAGTGTAAATATTGGCATGCCACTCCATTTTGTTTCTCAGTCATTCTACTTATTCTCTGGTGACACCTAAAGTGACAAACTAAGATCGAGTGTCCACAGGGATCCCAAGTAAGCCAGGAGATCTCTGCCTGCTTCAGTGGATGTGTGGCTTCCAGAACGCATACTCATAGCACAGGACAGAAATGGCTTGTATGGCCTGGTACCTACCAAACAATCCTATCAGCCACAGCTCTACAAATTAACCAGAAAACACCCAATACTATCAAGTGACAAAAATGCATAAATGCTGGAGAGCTGCATACATATAACAGATGCTTCTGGAGAGTCACACACATACACACAAATGTTTCTGGAAAGTCACACACATACATACAAATGTTTCTGGAGAGTCACACACACACATACAAATGCTTCTGGAGAGTCACACACATACACACAAATGCTTCTGGAGAGTCACATACATACATACATACATAGATACATACATACATACATATAACAGATGCTTCTGGAGAGTCACACACATACACACAAATGCTTCTGGAGAGTCACATACATACATACAAATGCCTCTGGAGAGTCACATACATACATACAAATGCTTCTGGAGAGTCACATACATACATACATACATACATACATACATACATACACACAAATGCTTCTGGAGAGTTACACACATACATACATACATACATACATATATACATACACACAAATGCTTCTGGAGAGTTACACACATACATACATACATACATACATACATACATACATACATACACACAAATGCTTCTGGAGAGTCACACACACACATACATACATACATACATACATACATATATACATACACAC